GCTGCAGCAATGCCAGACGCTGAAGGGGGAGGTACGGCTCCTGGGAGGGTCGCCCCCTCTCAGCAGGCAGCCCAGAGCTGAGCCCTCCTTCACTCCCAGCATGTCCCATCAGCCCCCTCTGGGGCTGGGCCACCGCCCGGGCGTGGAGCAGGGAGGGCGAGAGTCTCGAGTCAGGCGCCGTCAGGGCCCCCTTGTCGTGGGTCCACAGGCAGGGAAGGGGCTGGTTCTGGTTAGCAGCAGCCCTGGCCAGTGTAACTAGCTTGTGCCAGGAGCAGCCTCCCACTCCCCAGGCTCCAGCTCCAGCCCTGTGCTCAGCTGACAGCCGTGTATTGCCACATGGGGTCAGCACCCACAGCAGGGTCCCGGTGCCGCTGCGCACGGGGAGGGGCAGCACCTGGCCAGTCTGAGAACAGACCCGGAGGGAGGGGGGGAAGGGGCGGGGGAGTGACAAGGAGGACGTCCCCTGCCAGGGAGCCAGGCCCAGCTCGGGGGGAGACGCTCTGGGGAGGAGCCGAGCCCTCTTGCTTGGGAGATTTGAGACTAGACCAGTAAGGACCAGTCCTGCCCAAGCCAGGGGATGGACCGGGCTGGACCTGTCCATCTCTGACTGGCCTTCGGGCCTGAGCCCTGCCTGGCCCTCGCCGCACTGCCAACACGCGCAGCGGGGCAAAGGCCGGCAGGCGGCTCCCCTGTGCTGTCGCACTCCCAGGTGTTCTACTACGAAGAGGTGGTGCAGGAGCAGGAGCGGGAGCTCTGCCTGCAGCAGGAGCAGCTCCGAGAGGCGCAGGAGCACCTGGCCATGGCCAAGCGCAAGAGCAGCTCCACCGAGAGCAGCCTGGATCTGTACAAGAAGAAATACCAGGCCGCCTTGAACAGAGCTGGCGAGCTGGAGGGCAAGGTGCAGAGCCTGGAGGAGGAGCTCCGGGACATGAGCAGCCAGGTGGGCCTGCGCCTCACATTAGAAACGAGCTGGCGGTGCTTTCCCTTGGTGCCTTTGCCTCCTGTGGCACTGGAGGGGTTTGGGCATCTGGGCCTGGCCATGCTAGCAGGAGCCCCGCAGCCCAGCTGTGCCAGCAGGTTCCCCACAGGCTTCTTGCCAGCACAGGGCCCAGGCTGCACAGGCCCCATGGCCTTGTCTGTGCTGAGAGGTTTCCTGTGGTCGCCCTCCAGGGCTTTCTCCAGTTCAGCTGCTGGGGTGGGGGCTGGAGCGAACAATGCCAGCGGTGTCTGCCCTGGCGCGCCGGGCTCTGGAGGGGCTGCACCATGCTCCCAACACCTGGGATCGGAGGGGAACCACCCTGGTGCAGGGGCCCCGGGAAGGCCGTTAGCGCTGCTCTCCCGTGGCTTGTGACCGTGCTGGCGGTGCCGAGCGTGCGACACGAGACTTCCAGCTCTGCTCAGAGAAGCACTGCCCAGCACTGGCCTGGGGCAGAACAGCTGGGAAAGCGCCCGGTGACAGTCGGCAGGTTGGACACCCGCTCTGCCCCGGTGTCAGGCTGCACAGACTCAGGCACAAGGCTCTCCATGGTGCTCAGTGGCCTCTGGCTGCCTCTGCTCTCCTCCCTGGGAGCCTCGTGGAGTGGGCCTCCTCCCCTGTCATTCTCAATCCTTCCCTCGGAAGGGAGCCAGGCCGCAGGCAGGGGAGCTGGCCCGGCCCCCACCCCCCGATCAGCCCCACGGGTTGGGCCGGTCCTGCTGGCTGGCCCCTCTGAGAGCTGCTCCTCGTCCCTGCTGCAGATGCGGGAGTGTGACGACACCATCATCAGCCTGTGCAGCAAGCAGCTGGTTCTGCAGCAGGAGCTGACGGGCAGGAGGAACCAGACGGCCAGGGAGCAGCTGACTCAAGAACTTCATGCCACGCGGGAGGAGCTGTCCAGGAGCCTTCAGCACCTCCACCAGCGTGAGCAGAGCATCCAGGGCCTCCGCGAGGAGCTGGCTGCCACGCAGGCCAAGGTGAGCAAAGGGAAGTGGGGCAGCTGGCCTGGCTCTCTCCCTCCCGGGGCACTGGGCAGCCTGGGGCAGGGCCTGGGTGCAGGGCTGGCATGTTGTCAGTGCTTTAGAGAACGTCACCTGCACGCCAGCATTCACACCCGCTCCCCTGCCCACTCACAATCACACCCCGCCGCACGTGGACACGCTTACCCATTACACATTCACACACCGTCCCTCCAGACTGCCACAGCATGCTCTGGTGGAGTCGTGTGGGACGCAGCACATCTCTGTTGGGACAAGGGACACCAGTGCTCTGGAAGCTGCACTGGCCCCAGCTGGAAACACAAGTCACGTTGGGTACCTGTCCCATTCAGGGGAGCAGTCCAGACCGGCGAGGGGCTGTCACCACCTGCCCTGCGACCCGGGGTGCCTCACAACACTTTGCTGCTGTAGCTCCCAGCGTGGGCTGCTCACAACCAGCCAGACAGCCTGAGGGTCACCCCTGAGTGTCTGTGTGTAGCCACAGCCCTGGACCAGCCCCTCTGAGCCCAGCAGCCTGTCAGCTACAAAGCAGCCACACTCTGGCTTCCAGCAGCCTTGGTTACTACCCGCAGGGCGACCCCAGCACACTCCCAGTCCTGAATTTTCCCAAAAAACGTGTGTTCTGCACAGTCCATCCCTCTGCTGGGCAGTTCAGGGATTAGAGGAGCTTTGACCCTCAAAGGGGAAACAGTTTGTGACTTTAACAATTCAATTTAAACAAGTTTATTTAACTACAAAGAGGTAGATCTGAAGTGAGTACAAGTATAAGCTATTCGTCAGCAATGGTTACAAGAGAAATAAACACAAAACACTTCCTAGTAACTAAAATTTAACAAACTAGACTTGGTTCAAGGTAAAATCTTTCCCCATGTTCCTAGCAACTGGGCTGACCAAATGCTCAGGTCAGGATCCCCCCGCAGTGTCCAAAGGCTGAGGCAGTAACCAGCTCTCAAGCCCCTCCTGCGTCTCTGCCAGCCCCTGGCTGCAGACAGGGAAGAACAAGAGCAGCTTGCAGAGAAGAAACGGCCACTGGAGCCCCTAGGGCAATGCCCTGGATTTCCCAGAGACCCATCAGGTGAGGGGTCCTTATCCACACCTCCTCCTGCAAAGACACTGGTCACAGACTCATCCAGAATCAGATGCCGCACACACCTGGACCGACTCCGGACACCAGGGACTTCGCCTCCAAAGGACGTGGCTCTTCACCATAAACGTACTCGTGAGCCGGTTCACTTGCATGGGATCCCAACCTGTCCCACAGCCCTCCCCAGAGCAGCGGCTCAGAGCCAGCACAGCTGCAATGTGCTCTACAGTGTACCCAAACAAGGAAGCAGCTGCCCATCACCCCTAGGCCGGGAGGCACGCAAGGGAGGGAGGACGTGATGTCAACAGCACAGGATAAGCCCAGCTGCTGCCAGCTGTTCTTCATCTTCCAGGAGTCAGCAACAACCTGGCAGACGTCCTGCACAGACAATCCACCAACCACGCGTGGTCCCTGACCAGCTCCATCATCCAATCAATATGTCACTGCGGGGAGGGAATCCCATTATAGACCAGCTTACCACCAAGGATTATGCAACGTGTCCAGCCTTTTGTGCCAGGAGACATGAGCCTAGGGGCATTACACACTTTCCTCCTACCATGGGCTCAAGGGCTCCTGAGTGCACTGATTGCCAAGCGTGCCATGCAAGGCCTAGCAAGATGCTGACAGATCGCCTCCGAACGTGTGTCCCGGCTCCCATGTCACTTCCGGGTGCTCCAGACAGAGTAGCATGGACCCAAGGGCAGGCACTCCACCCAGACCCGACGTTGCTCCTTCTGACAGCCTGGGGGGGTGGCTGGCAGCTCCCTGCAAGTACGAGACCCTGCTGCTCAGTGGGACGCTCCATGAGGAAGATTTACTCCGCCAATGGAAAAGGGGTTCACAGTGAGCCAGGGCAGGCCCCTGCACCCCAAACCCTCCACTAGACCTGGACGCCCCTTCAGTGCCCTCAAAGTGCACCTGGCAGCACTCCCGCCCCCTGCAGGCCGGGGCCATGCCTCCCCCCATGCTGCCCAGATGGCGGATGGGGTGAGTGTGTGCTGACCACTGGGGAGAGAGCGTCTGACATGGGATTTCCCTTAACTTGATGGAGCCGTTCGCCAGGGGCTTGTCACACCAGCTCATGCTCCACACGGCTTTGTTAGTCGCTAGCCCACCAGCCAGAAGGGCCAGCAAACAGCTCTGTGGCTGCCCTGCCTTACCCAGCACCCACGGGCCCAAGGCTGTGGTGAGCCTCACCGCACGGGTCGTCCCCCAGCTGCGTCACGCTGTCACGTCAGCCAGGCCACTACGTTCCCACGTCCATTTCTCCGCCGGAGCCACCGGGGCCTGATTATCCTACTTTGGCAGGGCTAAGCCTTTCCCGCCGGCTCCCCAGCCCTGTGCTTTGAAGGCTCACGCCAGCCCCCCCAGAGACTTTCCAAATGGATGATGCCGCATACATCAGCCTGCTACCCTATGGCGATGGACCGCCCCCTCCGGCCAGCACCGCTCACACCACCAGAGCACAAGCTGCATCCGCCGCATGCCCCAGGGGCAGCCCCGTGTCGGCTGCTGAGCGGCGGAAGCCTGGCTGTGCCCTGAGCTGGCTGCAGGATGCGACCCCATTCGGTAGGGCAGCCGCGCACTCAAGCCTCCTCGGGCCCACTGCTTGTCAGTCCCCGCCCGGAAATGAACGGGTGACGTGCCCTGTGGTTCTGCCTGACGGTGCCTGTGTGGCCCCCACGACCCGCTCGCTGGGCCTGCCTTTCCAGCGTCCTCCAGAGCTGGGGGTCGGCGTGAGCAAGGGGGGGCTGGGTGCAGCTGCTCTGCGCTTCAGGCAGGCAAGAGGGGCCATGAACGGCCCAGGCCCAGGCCCAGCCCCAGCCCCACCGCTGATCTCGCCCACGTGGGAGCCCTGCAGCCAGCATGGCTGGCAGAGCTGCAGTTCTGTAGGGCGAGTAACTGTTCGCTCTGCGGCCGATTATCCAGGCTGACTTGGGTACCAGGAGTGTCACCTGGTTACCCCCACGGTCAGCCCCACTTGTGTGGCCGAGGCCCCTTGCAGAGAGGTGGCCGTATCGGCTTTGGCGAGGCCCCCCCGTCCCGTGGCAGGTTGTTCCGCCCACCCTGTAACGGTTTGTGCTCAGCTGAGCGGGTCTGGCTTTAACGCCCAGCCCTTGGGTCGAGCCTTGCAGCCCCAGTCACATCACCTCTCAGTCTCCCGTGGAGACAAGCGACAGATCGAGCTCGTGAAGCGTCAGGCCAGGCCTTTTCTCCCGCCCTCGAATCGTCCCTGCAGCCTCTCACAACGTGCGCAGCAGCCCAGGCGCCGGTGTTCTAGTACCCCCCTGGCATTCCCGGGCTTCCCGTGCCACCCTCCCGCCAGGGTACCGAGGGCTGGGTGGCACCTCGCTACCACCTGCCCTTAGCGTGAGGGAGCCTCGTCTGTGCCGGGCAGGGGCCAGCTCCCCGACTGCGCCAGCCCTCCCCTCCCAGGCTGCGCAGGCTGCGCTGTCCCTCTGCCCCCGAGGCCTGTGAGCTCCCCCCCCAGGCGTGTCCAGCACCCGACCCTTGCAGCGTCCCACAGTACGGGACCCCCCCGAGCAGCTTTGCTGCCGGGTCACCGTGCTGCTTCACCCTCACCCCTTCCCTGGGGGGACTGTGACAAGGGGCCGTTCTTTACCCACGAGCAGTGAGTCCCATGCCAGCAAGTCGCCATATGGGAACATGGTTACATGTACAACAAAACCGTAGTAGGACTGGGCGCACCCCCCCACCTGGCCAGGGGGTGGCGCTGCCGCTCCTGAGACACCAGGTTAATTCTTTGAGCCGCATCCTTGCTAGGTGTGCCTTGCGCCGATTTCTGTGAGCGCTTGTCAGCTTTGCAGGCTTGAGCCGCAGCAGCCCCATATGCAAATAGCCATCCCGTGTAAGACACGCAATACACAGTGGTCAGCGTCTCCTCCCCCTGCCTGACCAGAGCCTGGGTAGCGTGACGGGTGCGTGGCGTACCGCATACAGCGTACGAACACCTGTCTCAGGCTCACGCTGTCACGCCAATCTCACAGCTGTACGCACGGCCCAGGGACCTCCGGGTGTTCCCGGCTGTTGGGGGAGGCCTCACATGCTGTGCTTTGGCACACTAGTCTATAGACTCAGCCCCTGGGGAGTCCAGTAAACCCGCTGCACCCTGCTGCCCCTGGGCTCTCTGGGGCCCGGCCCACTGGTGTCCTGCCTGTGGTTTCAGTGCTTGGCAGACGAAGAGACTCTGGTGAATGTGCAGACGGAGTTTGCCTCCTACACAGCCACTCACAGTCACGCCAACGCCAGCTACGAGAGCCAAGCCGCCATGGCAGAGAAACTCCAGCAGGTAGGACCAGCCCCCCCCACCCCGCATACTGCTGTCGGCAGGGAGCGCCAGGCGGCACTGAGCAGCCAGCGCCTGCCCTGCCCCAGCTCCTGGGCCTGCTCTAGGGCCAGCCAGGCCTGGCAGCTGGCTGGCTGCCCACGGCAGTGACTGAGCTGTGCTGCTGCGTTGCGTCTAGCAGCTGAGCCACGCCGACGAGGAACGCGCCAAGCACAGCCAGCGGGCCGAGGAGTACCAGTGCCTGGTGCAGGACTTGAAGCTGGAGCTGGTGCGAGTGGCTGAGCAGAAGAACAGCGCCATGAAAGGTAGAGCAAGAGGCAGCCACTCCTCCTGCCAGCCGGGGCCCCTGGGGGAAAGCCGCTGCCCCAGCCACGTCAGCGCTGCCCATCAGCGTGAGATTCAGCGCCACGGGCCTGCCCCCGGGGAGCTGCTCAGGCTGTGGGCTACGCTCCAGGCGTCTGCGGCAGCTGGGAACACGAGGAGCCCTGGGTGGGTGGCGGGGGGGGCTAGGCCCGCTTTGCCTTCCTTGCTGAGCCTGTGGGGAGCCCGGAGTCCTGGCTGCCGGGCAAGGATTGTACCATCAGCCTGGGGCGGAGCTGCAGCCAGGTGCTGGCGGGCCAGGGCAGCCCTGGCCTGGGGCACACAGTGCGGGCGTCTGTGCCCAGCCCCGTGTCGCGCTGCACACAGGGTGCAGCTGGGCTGGAGCTGCCCCGGCCGGCTCCTGCTGGCAGTGTGGCCATGGCGGTGGGGGGCTAGCGGCCTGAGCACCCCGGCTGCACTGCGGTTACTGGCGCTGGCCAGCCCGGTGTGTGTGCAGAGCTGCGAGTCACAGCTCCGGTGGAGACGCCCGACAGCAGCCAGCGGCTCAGGGCATCTGCAGGAGGCAGGCGCTGGCACTAGCGTGGCGCTGCTTTTTCAGCTCTCGGGAAGCTGGAGCTGGAGGTGCAGAGCCTGAGGCAGGACACAGCTGCTGAGGTGGAGCAGAAGGAGCTGGAGGTGGCCAAGCTGCAGCAGCTGATCCAGCCACTGGAGTGCAAGCTCCAGGAGAGCCGCCGGCTGTGTGTGCAGAAGGAGCAGGTGAGCCCAGGAGACGGGGACCCAGAGGAGGGACAAGCCAGGGGCCCTGGGCCAACGTCTGTTCGGAGTAGGGTGACCAGACAGCAAATGTGAAGAATCGGGACAGGGGGTGGGGGGTAATAGGAGCCTATATAAGACAAAGACCCCAAAATCAGGACTGTCCCTATAAAATCGGGACATCTGGTCACCCTAGTTCGGAGCAGAAGAGGCTCCAGCCTCCCCCCAGGTCTCAGGCAGCTGCGGCAGCACCTGTGGGGCCATGTGGAGGGGCCTGTGGCCGTGGGGCTGTGCCAGGGGTGGGCGGGGTCCAGCCTGCGGGTGGCGTGTCCCCAGGGCAGTGTCTGGCAGTGCTGCGGTCTCTCTTGGCACAGATCATGCAGAGGAGGGATGAACAGCTCCGCCAGGCGCAGGCCGCCATGCGGCAGGCTCGCAATGCCCTGCAGCAGAGGGGGCTGGAGGTGGAGAAGCAGCGCGCAGAGGCCAGGAGCCTGGACGCGCGCCTGCAGGAGGCCCAGCGGGAGAGGGAGCAGAGCCAGGCGGCCAGCGACAGCCTGCAGGAGGAGATCCAGCTGCTGAGACAGCGCCTGCAGGACAGCCAGCAGCAGCAGCAGGCGGCTGGTGAGCGAGGCAGTCGCGCCCTGGCTGGGCCCTCGGCACCACCGGCTTCAGGCTCTCGTGGCTCGGGGAAGGCGGGCGAGACACGTTGCCTGCCTGGGGCATTCCCCAGAGAGACACGCCCCGAGTCCTGGCAGTGCCAGTCCCTGCGCCACAGGCCCGGGATGTTCCCGCTTGGAATCTGCCAGCTGCAGGGTGGGGGTGCCCGCGCGCCCCCCCCCCCCGAGTGAGTCCCACCTGCCCCTTAGTCATACCGCGGGCCCCAGTACAGGGATAGCTGACCCTGGGGGATGGCAGATGGCTGAGCCTGCCCGTTCCAGCCATCTCAGAGCCCAGACACCCCGGTGATGGGCTCCAGCTGCCCACGAGGCGCAGGCCCTCGGCTCTAGGCTGTGTCAAGGGCGGAGCAGGGATTCTCCTGGGGGGGCAGCGGCTGGGTGAGCGCGTCCCTCCCTGTCTCTGGCAGCTCAGGAGCTGGTGCAGCAGGAGGAGCAGCTGCTGCTGGCCCAGAGCAGCCTGCAGCGCACGCAGGAGCAGCTGAGCGAGCGCCTGGCCGAGGGCGTCCGGCTGGAGCAGGCCAGCCGCAGGCTGGAGGCGGAGCAGCGGGCGCTGCAGGAGCAGCTGTCCAGCAGCACGGATGAGGTGGAGCAGAGCAGGTTGGGAGCGGCCGGGGACCTGCCAGTGGCCCCTGGTGGAGGTGGGAAGAGCCCAGCAAGGGGCACAGGAGGTTGGCACCTGCCCCTGCCAGGCTCCATGACCCAGAGCAGCGCCAGGCAGCACTCAGAGCTATGGCTGTGGGGCAGGGAGACCCCGAGGCAGAGCCACTCAGGATGGGAAGGGGCCAGGGGGCAGAGCCAGGGTTGATTTTTGGGAGCCTGCCGCGTGGGGCGTCCGGCTGGGCTCCTAGGGCTCGTGGGGCAGGAGGGGCAGAGGCTGGAGCTGCTCTGTCTTGGGGCCTCGCCCGCAGGAAGCTGCTGGAGCACCTGAAGGCGGAGCTGAGCCAGTGGAAGCAGAGGCACCAGGTGGCTGTGCAGCAGGGGCTGCAACATCAGCACTCAATGGCCAAGATGGAGCTGAAACTGGGGAGCAGCCAGGAGCAGGCGAAAGCCCTGCAGCAGCAGGTACAGGCTGGGCGTGGCCTCCCCCTGGGGCTGCACACGGGGGGCCTGGCCCCTGGGCACCAGGCAGGCGAGACAGAGGGAGCGCCCTGCTTAGCTGGGGGCAGGGGGCGGTCGCCCGCTGGACGTATCAGCCATGCAGGAGGCGTTGTCTCAGCCAAACCAGCAGTTGCCCAGCTCCTGCAGCCTTGCCCGGCCCAGCATCTCCTCCCTAGGCGCTCCTGCTGCCCTGGCCGGTGCCCCCTGCTCGAGTGGGGGAGAGGGCGGCCTGACCTCGCACCTGCAGCCCCATGTTCCCCTAGCTCCAGGAGCAGGAATCCACCCAGCAGGCCCTGCGGGAGGAGCTGAGCCAGCTGCAGGGCCGGGAGGACGAGCTCCAGCAGCAGCTGCAGAGAGCCCAGGAGCGGGAGCGCGAGCTGGCCAGCGAGCGCGAGGAGCTGCAGCGAGAGCTGCACAGCAGCGAGCAAGCGGTGAGCCCGTGATGGGGCCCAGCAGAGCGGGAGACAAGGCCACGCTGGGGCAGTGGCGGTGGGGGGGAGACGGAGGCTGGCTGGGGCCTGGGTGTGGAGGGGTGAGCGAGCGCGCCTTGCTGACAGCCCTGCCTGTGTGCCAGCTGCGGGAGCAGGAGCAGACAAGCCGGGGCCTGCAGTGCAGCCTGAGGCCGCTGGAGGAGGAGGGCCAGCGCCTGCAGGAGCAGCTGAGGCAGTGCCGCGCCCAGCTGGAGAGCACCAGCGGCAGCCTGGGCCAAGCCCAGCAGCGGGTACAGCAGCAGGCGGGCAAGGTGAGCGCCCGCCGCACTGGCCAAAAGCCGGCCCAGCCGCCGGCGCCCAGCTGACAGCGCTGTCCTCCCCGCAGGCCGCGCTCCAGGAGTCGGCCCTGGCCCAGCTGCAGGCGGAGCTGGAAGCCGCTCAGGCCAGAGAGCGGCAAAGCACCCGCACGCTGACTGCAGCGGAGGAGACCATCCAGGCGCTGACGCTGACAACTGCGTCCTGTCAAGAGAAGCAGACGGAGGCGCTGGAGAAGGTAGGGCAGAGCCGGGGCCTGCCACAGGGACCCCCTCAGCTCCCCTGAGCTGGAGCAGGGTCGGCAGAGTCAGTGCTGACCCCCAGGGGCTGGTGCTGGGAGCACTCGGGTCACAGCTCCTCGGGCTCCCCCGCTCTCCGTCCCCGTGCCGCGTGGTGTGCGCCTGCTCCGCCTGCCGGCCCCGCCCTGGCCTCCAGCCTGCGGCTCCCAGCGAGTGGGGTGTTCACACCGGCCCAGACGGGCGGGTGCCCCACACAGCCCCTCTGGCACCTGCGCTGCCTAGGAGCATGTTACCCTTCGGCACCCATGGGGAGCAGCCCCTCGCCCCGGCAGTCAGCGACCGCGTCCCAAGCATTCCCGCTTTGGTACCAGCACCCAGCAGTCAGTGCTGCCCCCCCCCCCCCCCCGGCCCCAGTGCGGCATTGGGGGCCTGTGCTGGGGCAAGGGTTCAGTAGGGGTCTCAGCCTTCCCAGCCAGGCCTGGCCCAGCGTGGCGGCTGCCGCGTGCACAGTCCTCGCTTCGGCTGGAAGGCTGGGGCCTGTGTCCCAGGCTGGGGGGGTATCAGTACAGCCCCGCTGTCTGCCCCAGGGCCTGCCGCCCCTCCAGAGCGCCCCGCCCCCACTGCCCCGTCCTGTGTGACAGCTCAGCAAGACGGCGCAGGACATGGCGGCCCTGCGGGCGGAGCTGGTGCGGACACGGGCCAGGGAAGCCCAGCTGGAGGAGGAGACGGCAGCCTGTGAGGAGCGCATGAGGCGGCTCAACGGGGAGCTGAAGAAGCTGCAGGGTTTCCAGCAGCAGCACGAGCAGGAGGTGAGTGACCCGCGCGCTGCAACCGCCTCCCTGAGCCCCCTCCACCCAGCCCCCACCTGCCACCACTCATCCCCGGCAGGTCCGGGCCTTCGAGGAGCAGCTGGGGGAGCGGAGCAGCCAAGTGCAGCACTGGCAGCGGCGGTACCAGGAGAACGCGCAGGCCCTGGCGCAGCGGGACGAGGACCTGGTCGTAGTCAAGGTGGAACTGGCCTCGTTGAAAGAAAAGCTCCATGGTGCCGCTGAAGAGGTAAGTGGCTGGGGGGGGCCGATGGCGTCTCACGCAGAACCCTGGGGCTGGCACAGTACAGATCCTGAATGCTGGCAGGGCAGATGAGGCCGTTCGCTTTGCGGCCCTCAGCCCCCTTCTGAGCCCCAGGCCCGGGGCAACAGGGGCATGGTGCCTTCTTCCGTAGGGCTCACTGACTGGTCAGCGCCTGGGGATTTAGGGGTCGGGCCGCAGGGGGACAGTGTTGTGGGCTTGACCCTCGAGTGGAGCCTTGTTCGCATCCTAACCCCATCCAGACTCGTGTTCCTGGGGAGCAGGCAGGCTGGGAGCATCGGCCCAGCCCCCTGCTCATAACATGCCTTGGCAGAGAGACCGCTTGCAGCAGGACCTCAATGTCTTAAGGCAGAAGTTCGTGGCCTCCAGCAGTGAGGTAGGCGTAGCCCCCCCCGTGAGTGGGTGTTTGCTGCCAGCCGTGAGCCGCTCCCCACCCAAGGGCTCAGGCAACGTGTGGCCTAGGGGCAGGTTATTCAGTAGCTGTCCGCAGTGGGCTCCTGCCTGGTTCGAGCTAGGAGCCTGGCTCGGCTGACCCCGTCCGTGTCGTGGCAGCTGTGCAGCGCCACGTGACCCAGCCACAGGTGGGCGGGGAGGGGCTCTAGCTTGGCTGCGGGGCTGGTGCTGTGTCACTTCTCTTGCAGGCAGAGGCGCTGCGCTCCTCCCTGGGGGCTGCACGCTCAGACAGCCACCGGCTGCACCGCGAGAGCGAGCTGGTGCTGGCCAACGTCAGCCAGTGGGTGAAGGAGCAAAAGTAAGTGAGGGGGCTGGGCCGGAGCTGAAAGGAGCTGCCTTGGGAGTCCCTGCACTACTGCCCAGCCCCGCCCCCCCCCCCCACACACACACACATACACACCCCCCCACCCCCGCATGAGCAGCCGTGGCATCGGGGTAACAAGGCATCAGGCTGCGTCCCTGCAGCCCGGCACCAGCCATGCTTCTGCCTGCGCGGCATTTCCGCCAGACGCCGGCCACCAGCCCAACAGCTGCCTCCCCACGTGCCCATCACTGGGAGCCCCAGAGACCGGGACTTTGGCTGGGCTCAGTCCAGGGACCAGCTGACCCTCCCCTCCGGCCCTGTTTCAGGCAAGCAAACGACAAACTGGGGCACAAGATCCGGGAGCAGATCAAGCACATCGCGCAGCTGACAGGCGAGAAGGAGTAAGTGGGACCAGCGCCTGGCACGGTGCAGACACCTGTCTAGACCAGGGCAGGTTCAAGGGCAGCTGGCTGTGCAGCAGCCCTAAGGGATCGGAGACGCGGGGGACGGAGGGGTCCGTGGCTCTGACCCCGCCCTAGCTGTGAGTGGGGGAAGGGCGCTAGCACCCCCATTGCTTTGCTGGCTCCCACATCCTGGCCCTAGCGCCGCTCTGCTGCAGCTGCCCTGGGGCTGTGACTGGACAGACAGGAGCAGGCTAGCCTGCCCCATCCCCCGCTGCACCCATGGGTTGGTCCTGGCAGCTGGGACAGCATCCCAGTGCTGGGAGCAGAGCCCAGCCCCAGAATTACACCAGCGCCCTGCAGGCGTGGGGGGCAGCCCACGCACTACCTGCAGCATGTAAACAGAGCTGGCCGTGGGGGCAGGGGAGCAACCCAGTCTGAGCTAAGCACCAGAGAGTCCGGTGGCACCTTTAAGACTAACAGACGTATTGGAGCATAAGCTTTCGTGGGTGAATATCCACTTAGGCAGATTACATGCGTCTGACGAAGTGGGTATTCACCCACGAAAGCTTATGCTCCAATACGTCTGTTAGTATTAAAGGTGCCACAGGACCCTCTGTTGCTTTTTACAGATCCAGACTAACACGGCTACCCCTCTGATATTTGACACCAGTCTGAGCTGCATCTGCCCCCTGGGCCATGGCCTGTTCTGCTCACTGTCTCCCTGCCCTTCCCCACAGCCACCTGCAGGAGGTGCTGGCGAGGCTGCAGCAGGAGAACAGGCACCTGAAAGGCGAAGTGGCCGAGCGGCGCATTGAGTGTGAGCGGCTGAAGGTGAGCAGGCGTTAGCAGGCCAAGCTGGGCCCTGTGCGCAGGCTCCAGCAGGGGCGGGGGGGCCCCTGCTGCCAAGAGCTACTGCTGATTTTGTGCTTCTTGTCCCAGGCTCTGCAGGGCAGCGGCTTAGCTGCACGGGCCGTGCTTCGGCAGCCATGGCCCCTGCTCCTGGGCGAGGAGTGAGGTCCCTCCCTTCTTCCAGCCTGGCACCTGCACGATGGACCCAGCAAGGACTGTACACGGGGCAGGCACGTCCTCTGCACCTACCTCAGCTCCCCGTGCGGGCCCCGGGCCCAGCCTGCACTGTGAAATAAAGCCACGGGCACAGGCTGTCACTGACCACGTGTGGTTTGGCCACGTCGGCAGGGGGGGCTGCAGCCCCCTCAGCAAACCCCGCTTGCCAGGAACAGCCCATGTATTTCAGCCATTAAAGGTGTTGCTAGTACAGCCCCCAACCCCTATCCAGCGTAGTCACTGGAGCAGCACTGCTCCCTCCTGCCACATCCCATCGCTGGAACGGGTGCGGGCCAGGGTCCGCGCGTAGCACCAGCCCTGAGGCAGATTCTCTCCCCTCCCCCCCAGGAGAGGTGCAGCGGCCAAGGCCCAGCCTGCAGCTGTGAACACCAGCCCCTGGCGCAGGCTTGCGGAGCAAGCAGCCTGGCTGAGCACACTGCGATTTCGGTGGCCAAGGCCCTTGCTCTGACGCCAGGCCCCAGCGAGCAGCCGGGCCGAGCCAGCCCAGGGAGAGGATGCCGCACCGCAGGGAGCCCGGCATTTACCACTGCCTGCTGTCGTAGGAGGGCAGAGATCAAGCCAATGGGGGGGCTCAAAGGTCAGCACATCCCCTTTCCCCACAGCGACAGCCGGGCTGCTGCCCTGTTCTCAGCCCAGGAAGGGCACCGTTACCTCAGCCTTAGTGGAAGCCGACGGCAACTGGCCATGCTGGGCCCGGGCTGCAACCCACAAATCACTGGCTCTGGGAGGGAAAGGGACCAGTGTCGGGGGATGTGGCAGATGCAGGGCAGGGTTCTCCCCCAGCGTAGGTCATTCACCTCCCCGCGAGGCTGCAGGCAGGTGTGCACTGTCTACGCTGGCGGCGCGCTGGGGATCTTGCACCAGCCCCTCTCGTAGAGCCCTGCGACGCAGGGGCAGCTGATCCAGACCGGAGCCGTGCCAGGCACGCGGGAGCTGGGCCTCACACATCGGTGCCCAACAGCTTGGGGCTGCTTCACGCTCACACAGCCTTGGCCCCAGCCTCCAGTCGTGTTCGCACCTGCAAGGGGCCCTGCCCCCGGCCCAGCTCCACGAAAGGCAGCAGGACCCCGCCAAGCGCAGCACAGGACAAAGCAAGGGCTGGAGGCCACCAACATTTATACAAATAAAATTATTTCTCCTCTGTAGCAAACAGTGCCAAGGTGTGTGCAGGTGCCAGGGCAGGGCAGGGCCCCAGCACCCCAGAGTCACATTTACACACAGCGGGGGACAGCTCCCCGCAAGGAATCCATCAGCTCCAGGGAAGCGCCTGCTCACAGGCCGAAGCGGGCAGGAGTGCGGCGCGGCGTCATGGGCTCCCCCTGCTCCTTTCGCCCCGGAGTATAGATCTTCAAAGACCTGCGAGGGAGAGCAAGGGCCATTAGCCACGGGGCCGGAGGGCCTAGAACCCTGCCGGCTAGGCCAGAAGCCCCAGTGCTAGACCTGCTCCCCGCCCCCCGGGCGCTACTCACAGCAGTCGTTATCCCCCTGCAGGAGAGAACATGCCACAGCAGCCCCGTGCTGTGGCCCTTTGGGGACAGCCCCTGCTGCCATGCCCAGCACCCACCTCACGCTGCCCAGTGGGTTGCGGCGCTCCTGCTCTTCCCGGCGTGCTCGCAGCTGCTCCTCAGCCAGAGCCATCTCCTCCTCCATGGCCGACACCTCCTCCTTGGCCCGACGGCGGTTCTCCTGCAGCGACAGCAAGGGCAAGAGCTCTGAGTGCAGGGGCTGCGCGGCTCAGAGCTGGGAAGGGGAGAGGCCCATGGCATAGGCTGCAGCCTACGTCCAATCCTGCCTAGCTGGGTGCCCTGCGCAGCTCCCCGGGCCTGCCGGTGTGTGGGCGTAGCTGGGCACAAAGCAGGCGGCATCAGCTTGGCTGTGGACAAAGCCCAGTCTCCATGGAGGTTGCCCCATGGGGAGTCCCCCCCACCCACTTTGCAGAGCTATTGGCCTGCACCCCTGGCAGCTGGGAGAAGCCTTACCTGGCGCGACTTCCCTGCATGCTTGATGCTGTAGAACATGGGGCCCAGCTCCGCTAGCCACTCTCCATCCACGGACGTGACACACTGCATGTACTCCTGGGGGGAGAAAGGGCAAGGGCAAGGGCAGGCCACGGGTCCCACCCTCCCCTTCCCAGGCACCACTGCCACACGGCCCTGCCTGCCTCCCGTGGCCCCAACAGCCCCCTCAGCCCAGCACTAACCCGCACGATGGAAGGCAGAGCTCCTGGGGAGGGCCAGGCCCCAACCCCCCGTGAGAACATCCCGC